GTATTATAAGTGCTATCCCAAAAGTATAAGGAGGCTAGCAAGAATGGTTGGCTATAACTAAAACCTAATTTTGACATTCGAATCAGATTTAGGATGCATATACTTTCCCATTCCTGGGATTTCTTATTTTCAACTTTCGAAAGCCAATCTTGGTATAGTTGATCTGATGAGGGACATGAGCGGAAGGGTTTGAAATTCCCAGTAATATAGTCCATACTAAAAATGTCCCTCATAGGTTTTGACGTTTCTGTTTCACATGTTTTCTTTTTTAGAGTTTTTGACGGTCTAACAACTGGTTCATCTTCCTTAAGTTTTAGAGGGGTGGATTTATTAACAATGGGTTTGGTTTCGGAATACGCGGGAAAAAATCCCTTTGTTTTTTTTAAACGATCCGTAGAGATTAGGGGACCCATAACTCCTAGGGTTTTATCAAGAACCGTAGTAGGAATGATTACCTGAGAAGCATAGATGACCTTTTGTTCTTGAGTGAGTTTGGGAGTTGATATGAACTCCTGATTATCAAGATTGATAATCTTGCTTGCTGGTCTGAGAATGGAGGAAGAAGCTTGCTTAGATTTTCCAGACTTTTTGGATGAAGAAGATGGCGCTGAAGGGGAAGACATTGTGAAAATCAAAGGTTTTTTCTGAAAATAAGAAATCTGGGTTGTTTGAAGGTTGAGCAAGTTTGGAATGAAGAAGGTGAAGTATTTTTATAGCCTTTCTCAACGGTTTAAAGGTTTTTGACCTTTGAAAAAAGGTGGGATACGTGTAACTCCCTCATTGGAAAGAGAAAAGGTGGATTTTTTGAACTTCCTATGGAAGTGACGTTTTGCTGCTAATTATTAGCTATAACTGCTGTGATTGCACGTTTAAGTATGATGATTGGACGTTTTGCAAAAAGTTGGACACTTACTCTGCCATAGTGTGCAGTATTGTCATCATGAGTTTTGATACTCTCGAAATGGCATGGATAATTCAAAAACAAGTATTTCTTTATATCTATTGAAATACATGTTCTTGAGGGGCAATTTGTTAGCTGGCAATTTCGAATAAAGAATAATTGGATATCAAAACAGCATTTCGAATAAACATATAAGGAGGTTGATATCAATGATGAATATTGGTGGGAGATATCGAACCATTGTTCTAAAGGACTCTTCGATTTCCAGTGATAGATGATGGATTTCGATTTGGGATTTTTAGTGTTTAAAATATAAAGAGTTCCTTTATGCAAGGGTGCCAGAATTGGAAACGGTCCAGGCAATTGGTTTATTTCGAAACGAAGAAAATTAGCAAAATACTTCACTGGAACATGGTTCAAATTTCAAATAAGAGCGCCATTCTTAGAAGACGCGTGGAAGTCAGTAAACGTAAGGAGCCTGCATGCTTCGAACGTGGCATGATTTTAGAGTAGGACCGTTAGGGTCAGGACACTATAAATAGGTGTTTTCATGTTAGATTTGGTGTGTTCATTTTGTGTACTAAAAAATCTCAAACACTCAAATTACTGTGACTTAAGGGAAACGAGTTAGAAGACAAAATGTACGTATTGAACATCATGATTCGTTACAATTTCAATACAAGTCTTTTTATATTTCTTTCACTTTTACAGTACTTTTGCTCTTAAATCTTTCGATTCCCTTTTATTTCCTTGTTTTACTTGCCTTCAAACACATTTATCTCTTTAGAAACTTCACTTTTACTTTATCCTTTTGTTCAAACACTTCATATTTCCAGAAACTATTATATTCTCAGAAACTCCTTATCTTTACATTCAAGTATTAAATCTTAAGTCTAATTCGAAGCCTTTCCTTTATACATTCAGTCAGTTTATTTCCACAGACAATCTTAGAGATATTTCTTAAGAATCTCACATTCGACACTAACATACAATATAAATTCATCAATATAATGGATATGAACATAGAAATGAGTTATGACACATGTGTCCTAGGATCAATCTAGTCGATCCTGCAAGTAACCAATAACAATCAATAAATTGGAAGACTAGCGGTTGTTTACTAGAAATCACTGTAAACAGAAACATACTTATCTCCGCTTTAAACGCGAAAGTATTCTATGCTATATCACATTATACAAATGCCAAAGGTATGTGGGACGATCTCTAAACTCTCTATGAGGGAAATAATTCCATTAAGGATTATAAAATCAACATGTTTATAGAGAAGTTTGAATTGTTTCGTATGGAACCCGAAGAATCTGTAAATTCCATATGAAAACTTGGTTCCTCAATTTAATCAACAAATTAAGCAACTTGGATAAAACCTATTCCAACAATAATTATGCTAACAAGATATTGAAATCTATGTGCAGGGAGTGGCAACTGAAGGTTACCGCTATAAAAGAATAAAACAATATCGATAGTTCAGATATTACAAAGTTGTTTGGAAAGTTATCCGAGCATGAAAATAAACTAAAACGACTCACCGATAGCGAAGTAAAGTAACATGATTTTTTTTAAGGCTTCGTCATTAAAATCTAGTAAATCAAGGGAAGAAAGTGATGACTATGACGAAGAAACTCCTAAGAAATTAGAGATGGATTTATTCGTCAAGCACTATAATAGATACCTCAAGAGAAACAAACTCAAACATTCCGACAAAGGCTTGATACATTTTAGAAATATTCTCCCGCTCAAAAAGGAACACAAGAAAAAGGATGACGATGTTACGAGTTACAAGTGTGGTAAATCAGGACACTATGAAACTGCATGGTCCAAGTCTCACCAAACACCACAAGAAGAAAGATAATGAAGTTTACAAGATGAAATGAAATAATTCCAAAGGTCGTAGAGCCTGGATGAGAACTCCTACTCAGATTCCTCCTCAAGTTCAGATGATAAGTGTGTTAACCTATACTTGATGGCATGTAAGAAAGGTGAAACGTCAAAGGTATACAATTATGATAATGAATATTCTTATAGCGAATTGTCACAAGTGTTTAATGACATGTATGCTGATTCTATAAAGATTTTTAAGAAGATTTCTCTCTAAAAAAGAAATTATTATGACACTTAAACATGAGATAAATAATGTTAATCATACTTTAGATTGTCTTAAAGATGCACATACATCTTTAGTTGATGAGTGTTATAATATTTATGATACTTTAGTTGAAAATATGAAAAAAGTAGAATATGTTTAATGTTCAATTTTAAAACTTGAAATTGAAAATCTCAAAGGACAATTAATGCATGCTACTTCAGTATCTTGTTCTTATTCTAACTCGTCGAATGATATAGGGACGATTTTCATAAAAAACTCTCGTGTCACTAGAAAAAATAGAAGAAGCATTTCATCTAAATCAAATTGTCATTATTGTAGTAATAAGGGACACACTAAGCCTCAATGCTACATTAAAAACTTCCAAATTTCTAATAGTAAAATAATTATGTTTTTTCCAAATTATTTTACAAAATATTTTAAAATTTATAAATTGATAAAAAATTAATAATTTTATATAATTAAAAAAAAAAGCTCATTGACACTACTGCATAAATAATTTCAAATTATCATGGTTTTTGTTGAAAAATATTATGCATTCTATATATTAGATAAACAAAACAAAAGTACCTAGATATAATATATAAATGACAAGATTATCATTGCAAAAAAATATACATTTGATTAAAATAAAATTAGTATTCATATTTTTAGAATTTTAATAATTATTTTATTTTTAAATATTTCAATTTATTAAGTTTTAATTTTATATTATATAAACTTACAAAATTACCCTTATGACAAAATTATATATATATTTTAAAAATTATTCATTAATATTTTTAATTAGTATCAAATTAATTTTTATTTATATTTTATCTTATTTAATTTTTTATTTTAAATTATGTTTTATAGGGGTAAATTAGTAAATTAACTTGATATCCTATCCTACTAGATTCTAATCCCGCTCAGATGAAAATTTGAATTTGTGAGACGTGATATGATAAGATTCATGATTAATTTATTATGTCTTATTGCCTCATCAAATATTAAATTAAGATAAGATATGATACAATATTATATCATGTCTCTTATTCTACATATCATTCAAATCATGATAATTTTTACCTAAAAATCTAAAAGAATAATTTAATTAAATATTTTCGAAGTCTTTATTTAAAATTATGCTAATAGTTTTATCAAACAAATCACAACGATGATGAATAGATTTGGATAAAAGTAAAATAAAACTTAAATTATATATAAAATTTGAATACCCAAAAGTATTTTGATTTCTGTCCTAAACATATAACAATGTTAAATCTCTCTCGAGAAATCCAACAATGTTAAATCTATTGAAAAGAGCTTAAACCATCTCTATAATCTTATAAAATTAGAAAAATTAATATCTGCAATTGCGTAAGGGATATCTCAATTTATATAAAAAATATATCAAAATTTCAAATAATATCAAACTTAAAATCAAAGTCAAATCAAAATCATATATATCTAATAAATTTCAAATAAATATCTTATTTATAAATCAGATCAGTTCACAGAACAAACAAAAGTTTAAAAAATATTTTATACATAAAATATTTTGTACTGGCAAATCTTTACTTTTTAATAATCGACCAGTGAATCGATGCCCTGAGTCACTAGTATCTTATCACATAGAAATAGCGGCAAAAGGGTTTAAGCCAAAAGTTCGTGATCCAATTCATTGCATAACAACACGAGATTTTCACCATTCATCTTCACTCTCGATTTCGATTTCACAATCGCATTAACCTCATCGATAATCAATTCAAGGTTACTTCTCTTTCTCTTTTTCCTTTTCTTTTCTTAATTTCACTTTTCTGCATTATTATTCCGATTCCGAATTTAGGAAATAGGGTTTTACTTGATTCATAGATCTATTGTACGAAGTTTCAAACCCTAATTGGTATTTGATTCATAGAATCATAGTTAGCATTGCGATTTGTTATTTTTAATTTGATTTCATTGTTTTTTGATAGTGTAGAAGGATTTGTTGAGATGAAGAGACGATTCGCTGATTTAGGTGATGAACCTGAATCTGAGATTGAGTATCAGTCTCTGCTTGTTTCGAATTATCATCTCGAAGATGACGATGACAAACCTGTGTCTTTTTCTGTTTTGCCCATTCAATGGAGTGATTCCGAGGTTTCGAATGTTGATGGCAACAGAGGGAAGATATTCCTGCATGGATCTTCTGATAGTGGATTGCAGAAGATTTTCATGCAGGTTACTGCTTGGAAGTTTGATCTTTCTGGTTTGAAACCTGAGGTGTCCTTGCTATCAAAGGATGGAAGGTGGATTAAGCTTCAGAAGCCGCGAAAAAGCTTTCAGGATACTGTTAAAACTGTTTTAATTACGCTTTACTTTCTTCATTGTGTTAAGAGAAAACCTCGATTGTCTACTGATTCTTTTTGGAGTAACTTGTGTAAGGATAGAGATTTGAGGTATTTTTCTTTTTCTGAAGCTAATGAGTGATGGCTTATATGAAAACTGAAAAGTACATTTTATGATTGTTTTTAAATGAATGTATTTTTTGTAGCTCTTATGGGTTTAAACCTTCGCACAAGGATTTACTGGATCATATGCCCTTGATTGGTGAAGCTACCAGAAGACATGTTGTCTTGGCTCGGTCTAAGGTCTGTATTTTCTTTCTCAAATATATTGTCGTGTTGAACTACAAAACTATGATTTTTTCTTCTTCCTCCCCAATCCCTTATTGAAATTTAATCATTCAAAATATGGGTTGATTTTGTGATTTAAATTGGGTTTCTGTAGTTTTTGCAATGAGTTTTAGTTATTGAAATTAACTTTTGCAATAAGTTAAATTAGTTGCCACGAAGATGGTGTTTGTGTTCATGTGTTGGTTGATACAAAGAAGATTTTAATTAGCTTTTTTGTAAACCCTCTGTGGATGTTTTTGGCTTGTTCTCTTGGTTTTTAAGACCCAGAATCAGCAATGAAATGGTTCTACTTTATCATATTATTTGATCATTTGAGATATACGGTGGACAACACTACATATTTAAGTAGAATTTTGAACGAGGTGATGTCTGTCAAGAGTCAGGAGACTTTATAAAGACGGGTGTTTATCAGTAATTTGTGAATGGTTAATAGTAGTATGTCAAAAGCACTGGTTTACATTATTAGTTGTGTGGAAGAGGGGGAATGCATCAAACCTTAATAACTTTGCATCCTTTTTATTAAGTATTAAACTATTAATTAGGCTATATGATCCTTATTTGTTTTGAGTTAGTCATAGATCTATGAGATTTCTTACTTAAGAATATCATGTGCACGAAGTGGATTGCTTACAGGAATGAACTGGATAAGGTGTATGATCTTGATTAGTGCTTTATTGTTAACAGTTTGAATATTGCAAATTAGTGCTACTGCTGATTGGTTAAACTCTGTTTCTTTTAATATTCTCCACGTTTTCATTTTCTCTGCATTTTACTCTTGGAAAATAAGTATGCAGTCATAACATATTTAAGTAATGAATGGTTTGTATTCTGTGTACTCTTAAAATTTTCTTTTCTTCAGTTTTCCTTCTCTCTGCTTTTTACTCTTGGAAAATAAGTATGAAGTCATAACATATTTAAGTAATGAATGATTTGTATTCTCTGTACTCTTCAAATTTTCTTTTCTTCATCAGTTATGTTTGATTTACACATACCTCATTTTTGTTATAACAGTTTTGATATAATTTTTCATGTTCTTTTGCTAAAAAATTCTTGTACTCATTAAGTATAATTAAATTTTTTTTGTTCAACTAAAGGCTTTGAGGGATTAGGATACTTTGTTTTTTGTAGTTCTCCTCATGTGTGCTTCATATTAATGAAAATACTGTGATGGTGAAAACAGCTTTTGCTCACAGTTTTAGGGGACAAGCCAGAGTATCAAAAAGTATCTTATGAGGTTTGTTGCATATTTAATTTAATTTTCTTTTATCAGAAATGATTTGTCTGATATATTATCTCCCTTACATTCGTTTTATTTAAGCATATATATTATTATAATATATATATTTAAGGTTTTACTACTCGATTTCAGGAATTTGAAGATTTGCCACAACCTGGGTTTACAGATGATGATACTGACAATGACATCGTCAAAGAAACTGATGAAGACTCAAAAGTAGAGGATGATTTGTTTGATTCTGTTTGTGCAATGTGTGACAATGGTGGTGATCTTATAATGTATGAATTCTTTTTCTTAGCGGCTTATTTAAATTGATGTTTGTATCTATGACTATAAAGTATTGTTATGACGTCCTATAATCTGGGTACAAAATGCTAACAATCCGGTATTACTATTTTATACTAATATATTCAGTCTGCCTAACATAAGTATGCTCATGCAATCAATATATTATGAGAAATATCTATCACTTTTAAATTAAAAAAAAAAGTCAAGAAATTTTATAAATAATCAGGAAATAATTCCTAAAATTATTTCCAAAATTGAAAACTACTAATCGATTCTACGATATAATCCTATGTAGAGGAGTACTAACAACACACTATTCTATTGGTTGGAAATTTGGAATTCAAATAGATTCTACATAATCACGTAGGTCCTAGAAATTTTGTAATGGGATCCATTTAAATTTCAACTAATGAAAGAGTTTGTTAAAAAATGGCGTTTCTTCTGAAAGATACAAACAAACTACATCAAAATTCTTTTGGCACTAGTTTGGATTGTCTATATGAATGAGACAAAGCCAATTTCCCTACTGTGAATCATAAACCATTTAAATCTGAGTCTTTCATTTAACTTATAGTTTTACCATTTCCAGTATATCCGAAATATATTTTAACAAATTTCTTGCAGGTGTGATGGAGCATGCATGAGGTCATTTCATGCTACTAAGGCAGATGGTAGGGAATCTATGTGTGATTCTCTTGGTTTTACAAAGAAGCAAGTTGATGTATGTTAATGTTTTTTTTTTTTTTGTATTTATTTTTCCTGTTCTTTTCCACTTCAGATAATGACGTAGAAATTTGTTTGCCTGTTGCAAAACAATTGCAGGATATTGAGACATTTTATTGTAAAAATTGCGAATATCGTCAGCATCAGTGCTTTGCATGTGGCGAGCTGGGTTCTTCTGATAAAGATAAGGGTCCTGAGGTATTTCTGTAGAAAATAAAATAGGTTTCTCATGCTGATTAGTTCATGAATATGTTTTTCATTGCTGAATGATGTACTCGATCGTCCTTGTTTGTCTTTTTAAAACTAAATATTTCTCGTTCCAAAAATTTCCCATTGAGAGGAGAATCAGTTGCCATGTAGAATGAGGCAACCTGTTGTGTGATTTAAAACATCTAGAAGTATGAGGCAATCTGTTGTGAATGAAACAAGCCTATTTTATTTGAATTTTTTTCCTTCTCAACAATAGTATCTATTTTACTCATTGCATATTGGTGACATTTTTTGAAAAGACGAGGCTTCAAACCTCGTAAAACTGATTGCTCTTCAAAGCATACCTTGCACATAACACATTATGTAGCATATCATTCCTTGTTTTTCTACCATGCGTTTCTGTGATATGCTGGTTTTGGCACATGGTTTTCTTGTTTCAGTGTCTTTTGTTTTATCTGGTATTGATTTTGGTGGACTGGTTAAGATACTAATTGTTTTTGGAAACTAGATTTTTATGTAATGAAAAACAGAGCTTTGACATGATGTAAGGAACTAAAATTTTAAGAATCCCTCTTTCAGGTCTTTAAATGTGCTTCTGAAACATGTGACCGTTTCTACCATCCACATTGTGTCGCAAAGTTACTTCCCCCTGAGAAACATATCTCAGAGGGGAAACCCTTTACATGTCCAATTCATTTTTGTTGTGTCTGTAAAGGATTGGAGAATAAGATGGAACATGAGTTGCAATTTGGAGTTTGTAACCGATGTCCAAAGTCATATCATCGCAAATGTTTGCCAATGTATGTTCTCTGTTTTTCTCTGTTTCTTCCCTTCTTTTTATGATTCTAATTGATATTGTATACGAGGTTGATTCTCAAGTTGGTTTTGGCAGAGGGATTGCTTTTGACATCGATGGTGTTGAAACAAGGGCTTGGGAAGGTCTTTTGCCAAACAATCGCATTCTTATCTATTGCTTGTAAGTGTTCTGTTGATTTTTTTTTCTTTCAAATTTGTCCTTATTAATGCCCTGTGTAATTTTATTTATCATTTCATTGGGCTAGAAATCATGAGATCATTGATACACTTGGGACTCCTGTAAGAGATCATGTAAAATTCCCCAAAATTGGAGCTAGTGTTCGGGAAAATAATATTTCTAATAAGAGAATGAAGCCTACAACTAAAGAGAGAGTTATATTGGAGAACAATGTTGGCATTGCTAAATCATCTGGGAAGAGCACTGCAAATCACAAGATCGATGATAAGCTTGAAACCCATGTAAAGGATTATATAAAATTCCCCGTCACTAAAGCTAGTGTTCGGGAAGTTAATACCTCTAATAAGAGGATGAAGCCTACAACTAAAGAGAGAGTTATATTGGAGAACAATGTTGGTTTTGTTAAATCATCTGGGAAGAGCACTGCAAATCATGAGATCAATGAGAAGCTTGGGAATCCTGTAAAAGATCATATAAAACTCCCTGATGCTAAAGCTAGTGTTCCGGAAATTAATACATCTAGTAAGTGGTTCAAACCTACAACTAAAGAGAGAGTTATATTGGAAAACAATGCTGGTTTTGTTAAATCACCGGGGAAGAGCACTGCAGCAGGATCTAAAGTAACTAAGGAGACAGTGTTGTCTTTGATGAACAATGTTGGCTTTGATGAATCATCTGGGAAGAGCACTGCAACAGAATCTAAAGTAACTAAAGAGACAGTTACATTGGAGAACAATAAAGAGACTGTTACATTGGAGAACAATGCTGGCTTTGATAAATCATCTGGGAAGAGCACTGCATCAGGATCTAAAGCAACTAAAGAGAGAGTTGCATTGGAAAACAATGTTGGTTTTAATAAATCATCTGGGAAGAGCACTGCAGCAGGATCTAAAGTAACTAAAAAGACAGCTACATTGGAGAATAATGTTGGCTTTGTTAAATCATCTGGGAAGAGCACTGCAGCAGGATCTAAAGTAACTATAAAAAAGACAGCTACATTGGAGAACAGTGTTGGCTCTGTTAATTCATCTGGGAAGAGCACTGCAGCAGGTTCTAAAGCAACTACAGAGAGAGGTGCATTGGAGAACAGTGTTGACTTGGTTAAATCATCTGGGAAGAGCACTGCAGCAGGATCTAAAGCAACTACAGAGAGAGGTGCATTGGAGAACAATGTTGACTTGGTTAAATCATCTGGGAAGAGCACTGCAGCAGGATCTAAAGCAACTACAGAGAGAGTTGCATTGGATAACAATGTTGACTTGGTTAAATCATCTGGGAAGAGCACTGCAGCAGGATCCAAAGGGACTGGACGTCTGCCTTTAAATAAACCAAAATCAAATGAAACATCCAGAAGAGTTTCGACTGAAAATAAGAACTCAGTCTCAAACCTAATTGACCAGAAATTGAATGCTTCTATGAGTAAAGGTTTTAAACCAAGCCAGCATGACAATCAGGTCGATGATGCAGATAATGGAACACTGTCAATCCAGCCTTTAAGAACTACATTGCCTCCAGCTCCTATGAGTAAAGGTTTAAAACAAAGCAAGCAGCTTGATGATGCAGATAATCAAACCTCGTCAATCAAGCCTATTAGAAGTGTATTGTCTCCACTGGATGCTGATTCAGAGAAAGGGTATGTCTATCTAATTCGATTTTCATGCTTGTTCATTCTTTTGTTCCTTTTTGGCATTTCTCTTTTTTAATGTTTGCCACATTAATGCAGTGTGCTCTTTTTTAAGAATCTCGAAATCTAAGGCCCTGTTCACCGTTTCAAAACATTTTATATTTTCATTTGTTAAAATCTGTATTAATATTACTTGTTAACAATTATGTGCGTTTTTTTTTTTAAATAATGAAAAGGCCAAGATAATTGTTTCCATCATAATTGTTCATTTGAAGAGTATATCTTTTTAACAAGTTAAAATGAGCATATTTAGAAAATTAAAATAGCTAATAGTTTCACAAACTAAACTAGGTAAATTTGGCTTTAATTTATGTACTTATTTAGCATGATATTGATTTGTACTTGCGTACTTTTTCCTTGCGTGTAGTTTGGTGGATTCATTTAAAGAAGCCAGATCCTCAATATTGTTGGAGGGTGTGGTAGGAAAGCAAAAATTGGGAGATGTTGAGGACAAGCTGGTGCTGAATCATGATCTCCCAGAGTCAACTGATATTCAAGAAGAACAAGCATGTATAAATGAAAGTGAGAAAAGAAGCTTACGGCATGGTAGTCTTGAAGAGGAGAGTGATAAGAAACAGGAGTTTAAGATTATCCCGACTTGGAAGACGTCTGCGAAGAGAACACAAGTTAAGAAAAATGATAGAAGAGAACTGGGTGTGTCATCACAATTGTTTAAAGAAAAAGGTGCGGTCTCAAAAGCCAAAACCAAAACACGGCCTGTAAAAGAAGTGTCTAGCCATAAGCGGAAAACTCGTAGTGAGACTAAAAGTTTCCAGACTCCTGATCGAGTTGTGCCGGCAGGTTTTGCAGCTGGTCCTAACTATGAATATTCACTCCACCATTCAGCAGGGTGGCTTGATGAGTAGGTTTTGCATGTCATACAATGCATGATTAGACTTGAGGAATTTTGATATATTTATTGTACATAAAGATTTTGGATTTTGGTGTCAGATAAGCTTATTTCTTTGACATCTTTGATCTGTACATTTTGAATTAAAAATTTAAGCAAAGATTGTCTTTGGTATAATAACTAATAAGGATAACGTTGCTAGCATATACACTATATTGGTTGAAAAAAGTTGATGGTTATCCTTTAGAATTAGACTATTATGGTAAATTGATCAAAAAAATAGTTTTGAAAGTATAAACTTCAATAAAAGAGAGCTTGGGCAACGAGGCCCGTCTATCAGTTTGGAATGCATTTCCTTTTAATTAAGTTCCAGCAACAATGCATGTTCAATAGAGAAATTAACATGGCAAAAATTTTACTATTGATTAAAGAGATAAATTTCGATACTGATTTTTGTCGTATATCGGAAATTTTTTTATATTTTACTAATTTCTGGTAGTAATATATCTGAAATTTCTGATTATAATTTATTGGAGATTTTAAAATTTCCATAAAATTTTACAAAAGTCTCTATACGTACCGGAAATTTAGCAAATTTCCGGTGTATTGGAAATTTCAATTATACTCGAAATTTTCAATATATCTCTGGATGAAATTTGAAAATTTTGACGTACTTGAAATTTCCGGTATATTTTTATAGAAGAAAAACATTGGAAATTTGAAACTTGTGGTACTGAATATTTCAAATTTCTGTTACGATCAAATTGTACGATAAAAACTTAAAGATTTAACGAAATTTTCCGGTATGTTTTTATAGTAGAAAAACATTGGAAATTTGAAATTTTTGGTACCGGATATTTCAAATTTCCAGTTACGATCAAATTGTACGATAAAAACTTAAAAATTTAACGAAATTTTCGATATTTGCATGAAATTTTTGTTACGGAACCAATTTTTTTAAAAATTCCAATATATTTTAGAGACAATTTGATAAATATACTGTTCTGGACTGGACCCGCCCTGACCCAAGAGCAAGAACGAAGGTCCAATCTAAGCAACTCTTCAAGGAGCGCGCGTCCGAGAATTCCTGCCAGCGCGTTGACCAGAAGCTGCAGCCGTGTCCGCCGTTACCCGCGAACATGGTGTCCTCGACCACGTGAACTCCATCCCGAGCCCAGCTCGAGCACCCCCCTCGTAGGGTATACTCTGACCGTTACCAAATCACCTGAACTCCGGAAAGACCGCGTCCTCGTCCCTCCTCATTTCTCGCAGAGCATCACCAGGAAGGAGACCACGTGCGGGTCCCCACTACACACGTAGAACTTGGCAGTCCCTTTATTGAGCCAGTCCTGGTCGGCCCAATGAAGGGACCTTGGCCCCGCGCTGGGGGCTATAAATACCCTTTGTTCCTAGAGGGTCAGGTATTCATTCTCTTATCCATATATACACTTTTTGCCTGCTCGTACCATCACTCACTTTAGCATCGGAGTGCCTTGCAAGTACCCCCTTATCTCACTCAACTTCTGCTCGGAGCCAGTCGTGATGGTCCAAGTCTGATCAGGTAAGATAGTGGCGCCGTCTGTGGGAAACTAGCTTCCCTGTCTTGCAAAACCTCGAAGACCAAAGCTCAATATCACTTCCTACCGTCATGGCTGACCAAGTTCGGGATGACCAAAACATCCGCGTCGTCGACACCAACAACGACCTCGCAGATAAAAATGGACTCCCCGACAACACCAGTAACCCCGATCATAGCACATTCCCCGGGGGCACCAACCCCGGGCCCTCAGTCCACCGCGACGGAGTTACTGCCTCATCTTCTTCAGTCCCTCCGCCGCTCGAAGAAGACAACGCAGCTTCCACAAGCCACCGAGTTGCCCAATTTCAGGAAGTCCATGTCCCCGCCGGGGAAGATGCCACAACCCGCGCATTATTCGCGGTGATCAATCAGACGAATTACCTCATCTTCGTCTAAGGGGAAAGATTGAGGGCACTAGAAGACGATCGAAGACCCGCGAGGAGTCACAGAAGGCCCCATACTCCACCTCCTCGAGTAACAGAGGTACATCTCCCGTCTCCTCCGCGGAGACAATACAGAGACGCCTCCCGAAGCCCGTCGCCCCGACCCTCGGGGAGACGACCCCCTTTGGAGAGGCAACCCGTCATTGAGGTCGGAGGGCGCGGCCACGCCCCCTCACGGCAAGAGAGAAGACACTCCGGAGACAGGCATGGAAGAATTGATCAACGAGCACCACGCTCGAGAGATGCCCAGCACGACCAGGACCGTCAGGCACGACAATATTACAGGTCCCCATCCCTGTCCCCGGAGCGAAGTGACGAGGATGACCCCCGCGGTCCCCTGTCACAAGCCATCATGGAGGCGCCCATTCCCCCGGGCATGGAGAAGCCTCCACATCTGAAGGAATACGACGGAGTCGTGGACTCGATCGACCACATAGACGGGTTCGAGGCTATGTTGCACTACCACAATGTCGGGGGACCCATCAAATGCCGACTGTTCCCCACGACCCTCAGAAAGGCAGCAATGGATTGGTATAAAGGCCTCGCTCTGGGATCAATCACCTCGTGGCGAAACCTGAAGAACCAATTCATAAGTTCGTTCACTGCGTCTCGACGACACCCAAAGACCGAGGCGGCTCTCGAGGCCATCATCCAGAGACAGGATGAAACCTTGAGAGAGTTTATTAATCGCTTCAATCGCGAAGCCATACAGGTCCCATGCGCGGACCACATGAAAAGATACTTGCTGGAGAGGGGGCTCCTCCCCAGCACATAATTCAGAAAGGCAGTGGGCATCGAGCCACCTAGAGCATTCGATGCCCTCCTCGAGAAGGCCCGAGCGTATATGGATTACAAGGAAAGGGAGTGGCCAACAGAGCCCGGGACCCCAGGACTCGCGGATCCAGCAGCAACCCGCGCCAGGAAGCTGCTCCTCCTCGATGAACCGGGGAGAAAAGAAAAGAGGACAGACCCCGAGAAGTCCGAGAACAAAGAGGACCCTCGGGGCATTTTACTGAATACACTCCGCTCACAGCTTCCCGCGAGCGCATTTTGGCGGAGTGTGCCAGCCCAGACTTTAAAGACGGCAGCGTCAAACTCCCCCGACCTGCTCCCGCCAAGCCCGGAGCAGACAAGAGCAAGTACTGTCAGTACCATAGGAGCCATGGCCATCTGACTGAAGACTGCATCCACCTCAAGGACGCCATCGAAACCCTCATCAAGGGAGGGAGGCTCGCCCAGTACCGGCGGAACGACGCTCCCTGTTGGGACGCCCGGGAGACAAGAGAATCGGAGGAAGACGCCCGACCATCTGACGAGTCGGTCCCCATCCAGACCGCCTTCTCCGTCACAAGACCCGAGGACTTCTACGTCCCCGAGCACCTGCAGGAGCCGCTCACGACACACAGCAGGTGGGAATACTTTCCCTCCGCCATGGTCATCAATGGTGGAGGGTTCAATGACCTAACTATCAATTCAGCCAAAAGAAAGCTGGATGAACTGGTCGACGCGGCACCTCCGCAAACAGTGACTTTTGAAAGAGTAAAAGGTAGGTCGGAGCCTATCACCTTTTACCTAGAAGAGCTCCCCGGAGGAGCCCCCAACGCAGTCATTCCTCTGCTGATAAGAGCAAGAATGGCTAACTTTGATGTGCACCACATCCTCGTCGACGAAGGAAGTTCCGTCAACGTGATGTACAATCAGTTGTTCCGGACTCTGCAGCTAGACGACTCGCATCTCTCGCCATATGTAGGTTCGGACTTACAGGGATTCAACGGCTCGACCTCCAAGCCTTGAGGATATGTCGAGCTCATGGTTACCTTCGGCAAGGGCACAGAGAGGGCACGGCGACAAGGCAAGTCAAAGTGCGCTTCCTCGTCATCGACTGCCCGTCCCTCTACAACTGTATCCTGGGGAGACCAACACTGGCAGAACTTACTGCGGTACCCTCCACCGTCCATTTGAAGATGAAGTTCTACACCAAAAGGGCACAAATAGCTACCATCCAGGGGGACCTAGCCGCTGCTCGAAGGTGTTTCAACACCGCATCTAAGGGACGCGACACTGTCGACACCGGGACAAGGCCCGCCAAGATATCAGCGACGATGCGACAGGAACCCGACAAGCCAGAGCCCGCCAAAGAGGAAGACCAGAGAGCTCCACCAAAGGTCGACTCCATAGCTCTGGATGCTCGTTTCGATCAGGACGAACCTCCCAATGGCGAGCAAATTCCCCTCCGACCAATCCCGGACGGGGACTTCGAGCTGGTCCCCCTCAGCGCAGACCCAAGCAAAGGAGTGAAGATTGGCATCGACCTCCCCGACCTAGCAAGGAAACAGATCAAAGCTTGCTTGCACGAGAATGCTGACCAGTTCGCCTGGAGCACCGCGGAGATGCCCGGATTCGACCCTGAGGTCGCCTGTCACCGTCTCGCCATAGATCTTGCCGCTAAGGCCGTAGTACAACGTAGGCGTAGGCAGTCTCCGGAGAAAACAGAGGCTGTTGAAAAAGCTGTAAAAGACCTCCTAGAGGCAAATTTTATTTCTGAAGCCCGATATTCAACCTGGCTGTCAAACGTTGTACTAGTTAAAAAGAATAATGGAAAAAGGCGGATGCGTCTTGACTATACCGATCTCAACCGGGCATGCCCGAAGGATGCTTTCCCCTTACCAAACATAGATATGCTGGTCGATAACTCGGCCGGCTACAAGACATTGTCGTTCATGGATGCCTATTCAGGCTACAACCAAATCCCAATGGCCATGGGCGACAAACACTGCACTGCCTTCATGACCAGCTTGGGCAATTATTACTACAACATAATGCCCTTTGGACTAAAGAACGCAGGGGAAACTTACCAATGTATGATGAACAGGGTGTTCCACAAGCAAATTGGAGACATGCTCGAGGTCTACATGGACGACATGATCGTCAAATCCCGAGCAGACACCGATCATGTAGCACACCTCAAGGCAGTCTTCGCCCAAGCAAGACAAT